CCCTTCACGTGGTCTCCGGATATTTCTAGCAATCAAGTGGAAATGTTTTTCTATTCCCGCCAATTTGCTACCGGCTCGGATGAAACGGTCTTAAATTAAGGGAAAGAGGAATGTTCGTGAAACGCGGGAACACGTACCGGAAATGAGAACCGATCAGGCGTATCTGGAGTTTAAAGGAAACGTCGGGGTTGAAATAAATTTGATATCGGAGCTCGGGGTATTTTCGAGTAAAATATGTACGGTACGTAGGAAGAAACTTTAGTAATTGCTGAAGCTACTGTACTCGGTGTTATTATTACTGTACTATTATTAGTACAGTTACTACTGTTATTACTATACTGTTAAGTATAATAAGTTACATTTAATTTGCAATTAAAAAATTGTTTAAATGTTAAAATATATATACATAATTATAAATTAATTTAAATAATAAATCAATTTATTAATATCGTTACTATTGCTATTGCTATACTCTTATTAGTACTCTTGTGATTATCATAATTATACTAGCATTGATAGTAGTATTATTACTACTCTATTATTATATTGCTACGAGCACTATTACTATTATTATTCTATTACAATGACTATATTGTTAATATTACTTCAAATAATTTTTATAAGAACATTCAATTTGGATAATGGTTACATTAATAATAACTTTGGATTCTTTTATATCGAAAGCAAGTAGTATTCCAAGTAATACGTATTAATTCTAATAAATTACACTATTCTTTAACCGAGCACTACTGTTTTATTACATAACCTATATGCTTGCTGTTCGAAGTATTTTTACTTTCAAGCTCAGAGTTCTATACTGCGACGTTCGAAGTTGTTCGAATAATTAAGCGGCGCTATGAATGTGGACACAGGTATACAATGCATTTCTTTGCACAGAGGCGTGCACACGAGGAGAAAGATACACGTGTAAGAGGAAGGAGAAAGGTTCGTTCTCCAGTCAGGAAGATACATTTTCACAGTAAAGTCGACGAGGTCTTCTAACAAGGTGACCGCAATCTAGCCAGTACAGCACCCAATTAGCGATGACCCGAACCGGCTCAATTCCAGTGGCCCTTAAAACTATGAAATTAGTTCTCCCGGACAGAGGACGGTCTTTCCCTTCGAATCACCCTTTTCTCTGTTTTCCCCTGGCACCGCCGCGAAACTAGGAACAAAGATCCGGACGAGCCGCTGGAGTGACTTACTTTGCGAGGTAATCTCCTCGGTTCCGACAGGTGTGAACGAAAGTTCCAGAATCCAACGAAGCGAGAATTCCGTGTTCTCATTACCGTACAAGTAGAATGAAAAATTCCGCATCCCAGTTTTCCGATCAATTTAAATTATGTTTCCATCGCCATTGCTCTACATTTAGTTACAGCTTTGCTATGCACGTGTATTTCTACTACATATTTGCTGATCACGTTTCATCGCAGTCATTAACATACTTCACAGTTATCC